ATGTTTAACATGTTCAGTTTAGTTGTTGACAAGTTCGCCTTCTTTCGGTTCTCAACTACAGCCACAGCTAACGCTTTTTTCAATTAGAAAAGAACTTTGTTCCTGTTGCCACCCAATTTAACCGGCAATTTTGAAGACAAAAATGTGCGTAGGAAACCACCAAGATAAGGTTTTAAATTAGGTGATGTGTTAGCCTCTGTTTTATATGAATTTTTCAAGTTTCCTGGTTCAATTCAGATCTCTAAATTTCCATCTATTTTTTCTGAAACAACCTTCACTTTTTATAGGGGGCAAGAACTCAAACAACTATCACTTTCTAGGCTCTGTCTCTTGACTATCGAAGGCATGGACCAGAGCCGACGGGGCATTTGGCTCTGGTCATAGATCTCCGCGGGGTCTCAACGAAACCCCGCAACATTATATATCATTCTGATCGCCATGACACGACGAGGTGAACTGACAACGTCCCAAGCTTTGAAAATCACTCATTAACGAGATAGACCAGCGTTTTCGTGCGCGACTCTCTGCGCAAGATTTAAGCGCAGTTTCTCGTTCGTATTCAACTCCAATAGCTTTCCTAAACTTCTAAAACCAGATTTTGTTCAAACGAGAGATTAACTAAGAAATTTTGTTCTGAATTCTGGCGAAAATCCCACAGGAACCTTTTTTAAAGTAAAAAAGGCTATGAAAACGCAAATTTTCGGTTTCGCTGGGATAAGCTAGAGATATTATTCCTTATATTTGCTTCATTAGCATTCGTTCCGATATAATCAGGATAATAACATCCGGGGTGAAGCCCCGGATGACTTCTGTTTTTTTCCAGGTGAAGGTTGTGTCCCCTCATAGCCCTCAAAGTGAAGGTTATCAGAGTACGTGGCTCTATGTATCGAGGGTATGGGTAGCCGGGAGTGGACAAACCTTCAGCGAGCGGCGCTCCCTTCGCTGTCGCATATTCTGCAAACCTAATAACTTCTTACTGGAGGGCGTTCCTTGTTGTTCACTTTGTGAAAACTTGTTGTTCATAATCAACTTTTCATGGCAGAAAACAACTCATAACATTCAATCTCGATTCATTTGCTTAACTAAAACATGTTCCTTGTTGAGCAAAAAGGCAACTTCAAACGTGATGCATGGATTTCGATAAATATTGGCTGGTTTTGAATTCAAATATCCGTCCAAATCGTTTTAAATGAGAGAAAGCACTAGGCGAAAAACAGCCAGTAGCAAACTGACTTCCAAGATGTTTAACTACAACCGTACTTTTCACTTCTTGAAAAGCATCAACAAATGAGAAAAGATGCAGCGCCTCAATGTTTTGATAGTCTCGGGGTCATCTGAAGCTAACGAGCTCCGTTACATTATATGAGCAAAGTGCAGGGAAGAAGAAACGAAAGGATCGCCGCATGGTTGTTTGCTCTTAAAGCGTGTCAGGATTCAATATGAACGTTAATAATCAGGGTAAGAGTCACACCCAGGTTCGAGTAAGGGGTGGACACACGATCATAAATAGAACCCTCCACCCCTTTATTTCTCAGTAGGATCCCTCCAAATTACCGTTTGTCTACCGTAAGCATGAGAAGGAGGCCTATCACGCATGAGTGCATTTTCGTAATCTGCACTTCAAACAACTCCTCTCATCCACCTTTAGCGATTTCTGAAGTTTCCGAATATTATATTCAGCAAAATCGTCATACGTGATTTGCCTTGTTTCAAAGGACTTGCTGGAGCCTTTTGGACTCAATACAAAGCCTTCTGGACTCAATACAGGAGCCCTTTTGCACTCAATACAAAGCACTACTCCTTATTAGCATATGCTAAACTAACACTAACAATTAGCCTTCAAACACTGAAATTAGAAGTGAGCCAAAATCTTGCTCAGATAATTTTTCGCTTTTAATGTTCTGCTTCCAGGAACTATTACTCACAGTAAAAAAGACGAATTAGGCTCAAATCACTATTGCGAAAACTACGGGTACTGTCTATATAAATATATCATGAAAGTTTAGGTAAGTTAATGGGCAGCATTTCCGTCACTAACATCCCACGGTCGTTATTTTGCTGCTTTGATTTAACCAACGCTCGAGGATAGTTAAGAAGAAGTTCGGTGGAAGAAACCGTGGCTGATCCATTGAAGGATGTCAAGACGAGATATTGCAGATCGCAGGACCCAAAGACGACGAGAACAATTACGCGCATGTTTTTACAATGCTTGTTCTCTGTGTAGTGAGAAAAGATTAGTTGCGCTAGAGGAGGAACTAAGTATGATAAAATTTGACATTTTCGGACTATGCGCAACTCGACGCAGTGGCGCTTCTTATACGAAACGAAGCTTCTCGAAGTTACATTTTTATAATAGTGGATGAACAAATGGAGAAGCCACTAAAAGGGGAGTCGGCATACTAGTGAATGAGCGCAGTCGTCGTTTTGCGTAGGCATAACCTTCGTCTCGGAACGCTTATCCAGATCCACTTTCGGATGCGGGGAAGGTCTATGCGAGTTTCTATAGCCTATGCACCATGACGAAAGTATGATTATGAAGATTTTGTAGAAGAACTTGGATGCGCACTCTCACAAAAACGATGTACCTATGACATCTTAGTTGGCGACTTTAACGCGCGTATAGGAAGAGATGGGCCACGAAGCGAATACGTCAGCGACAAATGTCTTGGAATACGGAATAGTAAAGGGCAGGCCATGTTTGAGTTCGCTGAGTCTGAAAAATTTTATGTGATGAAATCGTTTTTCGAAAAGCCTCACAGACGAAGATGGACTTGGCGATCTCCTAATGGACAAGTAATCGAAGAGATAGACTACGTATTAACACGGCAACCCAGAATAGTAACTAATATTACTGTTTTCAACAAGTTTGATGAAGGAAGTGACCACAGACTTATTCGGGCTGATGTCGACATCCGGATCATGCCCAGTAAAGTACGTTTAGCTCGACTGCCTCCCGACTATTGCGAGCTCGAAATGAAGACAGCTTTACTCAATGATCCCCGAGTAAATGAAATTTCATCATCATCTCTGACATCGAATGATCCGGTGAGCTCTTGGTTACAACTACGTACATCAGTACAGGAGGCTGCTGTTCATGCAGAAGTTCACTGGGAACCGCTAAACGGATATCCGAAAAAACTCAATCTATTCTTCGTTTGAGAGTGAAATGAAGTACGGGATAGGACAGAGGAGTTCTTTCAACTCCGTTGAATACTCCATTGTTTGTAAAGTTGCCAGATAGTTCATGAAAGACGATCTTCATGAACATCATCTTTTTTTTCTGAAGCGTGCCATTCGAGTCAACCGTATAAAGCGGGTCGTCTTGAGCTTATAAAGCGGGTCGTCTTGAGCTTGTCCATCAACGAGGAACTATCTGCCAGCTACGCCGACCAGATGGGACATTAACAATCAACTCCACCGAAGCTGGTTTACTCGCTACTACTTACGTTGCTGAGCTTTACGGAATACCGACAATCCCATTTAGCCTCACACCCATCGAATCGTGAATTACCCATTAACTGCGGACGAGTTAAGGATAGCTGCTTCAAAGCAGAAACACTGCCCCAGGCATCGATTTTTGCATCACAACTAGCAGATATCATCAACCGAATGTTTGAACAAGGTAGCATATCCAGTGAATTTGCACATGCTTCCATAATTACACTTACAAGAAGGGCGATCGGTATGGCATCAAAAACTCCGCCCTATCTCCCTCTTACCTTCATTACAAGGTTTTGACAAGAGCTTTGGCCCACCGAATAAAGGAAAAGGTAGATACGTCTTTCTATTAAGCAAGCGTTTTCAACGAACGTTTTCAACTACCGACCACTTGCAAACCATCAACCAACTTATTGAGAAGATCCATGAATACCATCTACCATTTGCACTTCTTTTCCTCGACTTTGAAAAAGCTTTCGATATTATTAACGTCAACGCAATCTGGGAAGCTCTTGCGTACTTTGAAGTAGATAATGACACGATTTTGATGATACAACTACTATATCAAACTGCAGCAGCCTCACTTCAACTCAACAATATCAATGCTAATACAAAACACATAAAGGAGTCCGTCAAGGCGATCATTGTCTCCGCTCATTTTCATCACATGTCTGCAGTACGCATCGAATCCATACCAACTGGAAGAAGGAGAAGGATATGACATACGCATCGAATCCATACAATGGAAGAAGGAGAAGATCGGTAATTACCTTGCCTTTGCGGATGACGTTGTACTCATAGGTCTCATTCCAAGTCATTTGGAATCAAATGGCTGTAAAGCTTCTTCGTACATGTTTTCAAATTGGATTTCATATCAATGGCCACAAAACCAAGTGGATGAGCTCGGTATTACAATGAGATTCCATGTCAGTGAACGCTTAGATTGCTTCGTATAAGCGATTTCCATGCGTATAACGAGCTCAGACATTCGCGGTTGTCACCCGCAGGTTAAAACGATGTGATCTCATTGACCAACGGCGCGTCACACGAAATCGGTGACGGGGCAAAATCAGGTCACCTGTGTTTGCAGCGCGGCGACCTGCGGGACACACCATAATGCCCCGACACGGCATTCTCCGGTCATTATCGGAGTGACCTGCGGGAGACGCCATAATGCCCCGATCCTTAGAGCTGTGGTTCACCCACCCTCGTAGGTACATACATATATATATACATATATATATTATATATATAGCGTAAGTATGGAGTACACACAAGTACAGAGTTACGGTCTATACTTGTGTGTTTCACTTCCACCGTGCTGTTTTCTTTCACTGTCACTTACAAATCAAGCTATAGAATTTATTGAAAACTTTATGGTGGGGAAAAATCTGCATCAGCGCAAAATCAAATAAGCTACATCGAGAAAGCACTTGACAAAAAAACAACTGGAATTGTGTATAAAGCTTCATGGTAAGGAAAAGTCTGCATCAGCGCAAAATCAAATAAGCTACATCGAGAAAGCACTTGACAAAAAACACAACTGAAAATGTGTATATGATCTAATGTGTGTCGTTGGCATCCGTTTCTGCGATGTCGGCGTCCGTTTTTTGGATGACGTTCAAGCCAGTCACGTCAGATGTGCAGGGGCGCTTCTTCTGAAAAACATCATCAGCATCAACAGCGTAAATTCTGAGGAAGAAAGTTTTACCTTCGATGCCAGCAGGGTTCCTCGGTCAGCATCGAGATGGTACGCACGCAAATCCGTTCTAAATAGGTGTGATGGTCAATTGTCACCTTTGCTTTAGATTGATGTAACTCACAGTGCTCTTCCCATGGCCATGCGTGTGCGTGCAATCCAAGTCATCCGCGCTTCCGAGAGATTGTCGTACTTTCGTCTGCGTTCCTCGTTGTTCGTAGCCAGGTTCAACCACCAACTAAATTAATAGTGCATGGAAGGCCTTCCAAAAGTGGACTTACCTGTCTGGATTGCGTTCGTATTCGGATGCAGATTGTAAAAGTCCTCTGTCCGGCAACCCAAGAGCATCCAGTACAAACCCTAAATAATTTATTCGAATTGATATCACGTACATCACGTGCCATTTATGCTTCGATGTTTTCGTAAGTTTGATAAATGTCCCGTGATAGTTTATATCAACAATAAGCTCTTTTTAACCCCAAAAAAGGACGCAAAGCGTCGTTCTAACACCTAAGGCAGAGATAACATTAGATTCACAAAGATATAAAAACGTTCTAAGCGAATATAAAAAGAATGACTTCGGTCCGGTATTGATTGTAAAGGACAAAGCGTTCTTCTTAAATGCTTTGAAAAAAACTATAAGAGTGAAATTACATTTCAAACAGATTCGCAGATGACAAGTGTTTAATAAGCGCTATTTCAAGCAAAAACTATCTAACAGCCGCTTATGTCTGCCATTTTTAGATACTGCAAACTTCTTAAGAACTGCGAAGTTTTACAAAACAACGTAGTTCAGGTCGTTCTGGCTTTTTCTTAACATTCTTTATGCATCAGCAACCAAAGAATTTGTAGTCGAAGGGGATTGAGCAAGTCCATTACGCGATCTGCAAAAAGCACTAATAACGACATTGCTCAATGCTCGAACAGAAGGAAAGTAGAACTCCTACGCGATGAAAGAACGAATGATCGACACGACGCATGCTGTAGGGTGACACCGTCACCGGAAGTATTTACCTTCCTTATCAAGAAATACTAATAAGACTGCAGTTTTTTTCTATGCAAAACATTCCTCGAGAAAGCCACTGCTCACACAACACATAGTTAATAGTATAGTACATTTTTTGGACAAGTGCACCGATTATTAATGGACCGCATATATTTTTGCATCTGTACACAGAAGTGCAGCCAGGCAACAATGATGTTCACGTGTTGGCAATAACACACTGGAGACAAATAAAATTCCTTTCACGGTCCAAACCCCTCTTTCAGATGGCGAAACCAGCCAAACACATTCCTACCTTTGCACCATCTTGCATGAGAAAATTTTCGAAAATCAAATGGATTGATAAAGATAAATGGAAGACAGCTGTGAAAAAATACAAATAATACTAAAAAATACTATGGACTTACTTTCTGGCCAACAGATCAACATGTCGATTGGTAATGTTCCTAGACCAAGAGTCGTACGCGCATACGGAACAATCGGAATGACAACAGGTGTTTAAAGAAAGAATCCTCCGCAGCAAAAGCTTCATCAAATGCTCTGTCATCTGAAATACTTTGGTAATATGAAAACTCGATAAAGCAGAGCAAACGCGGTAAGTATGAGAGCGTAGAATGCATAAAGTCGGGATAAAACAGGAACAAGAATGTGATTTTATTGAAAACAATGATATGTTTTACAGAAGTGAGATGATCAAAAGGAACGACTACCAGGCGACGACTAACAAAATCAAAAGGAAAACGATAAGTGAGACTGACGGTATTTCGAAATCCTTTTCTCCGCGGTGCTTGGTTTCGAATGAGCCCGAAGATTACTTGGAGCGCGCTATCGGGCGTGTTAAAACATGCGCTCGCGCGTCGGGGCAAAATCGCAGTAAAATCCGGTCAAAACTAAATTCATGTCTCCCGCCGGTGCACCGGCTTTTGGTGCGATCAGCCATTTTGTGGGCGGTCCACCTGCGGGTTACAACGGCGAATGTCTGAGAGAGTGGCCCTGCAGGCATTTGAAGACGTTGAAAACTTGTTGAACCTCCATTTTGGAGCATTAGTTTCTTCAATCTCTAGCTGCTAAAAATTGCGATGCGCATAGGTTGGCAGGGGTGGCGGAACGAAAGCCGCCAGGTCCAGCCGCCTCCGCGGACTGCTGGTCCTGGAGCGACATGCAACAACGCTGCGAAAGTACAGTCAGTTTCATCCCGGATTAGGCGAGACATTCTACGTGAAGCAGCGCATGCGCATCGCTGGAGGCTTCGCGAGTGCATAGCACTGGCATTTTGCCAAGCAAAGACTAAGGAGATTGAAGAGACGCAGACATGGGTTCTCAGCACGATAGGACATACTGTAGCTGCGAAACGGCGCGAGCTGTTGCGAGGCGGACTCCCGCCAGCCCAATTTCCGCCTAAAGCGGGTCGAAACTTACTGTACCAGCTGGCCGCGAAAGGCGGCTGGACCTGGCGGCTTTCGTTCCCCCACCCGGTTGGCAGACGTTGGCAAAGCTCCGCCCGCTATACTGTGGGAAAAGGACGATATATCTTGGACAGCTAATTCAATGCCCACGCAGTCAGCGTGGAATGCATTTGGAAAAGTACGACAATTTCTCGGGAGTCGAAATGTTGCTGTTCATCTCAAACGCCGTTACTTCAATAACGTGATACTTCCAACGCTTTTATACGATAAACTTGGGCCACAAGGAACTCGCTGCTAAAACTTGTTCGATGCCAAAGAACGATAGAATGATTAATGTTAGGATTTCGCTTGAAAGAATAAGAATCTTCAAAATGACTACGTTCTATCACGAAACTGAAAGATGTAGTCGAATAGCTCGTCGAAGAAAATGGCGATTTGCTGGAAGAATACTTAGAAAAGAAGGCGTTGGAAGATGGACAAACATGCTTACACGTTGGATTCCACACACTGGCCGACGTTTCGGTGAAGGAGAACCTTGAACGAGGTGGGAAGGCGACATCCGTAAGCATTGCAAGATATATAAGCCTAATTGTAATTGGCAGGAACCAAGAAGGATTGTGCTGTATGGAGAACACTTGTTATTACATATGCGGTCTCACTACTGATATGATAAAGCCTTACATAATATCACCACGGTCTCTTGCATGAACAGTGTAAACCGTTGAGAATGAATCTATATATAAATAAAACTCAATCTCTGTAAATTCGTTTGTATGTAAGTATGTGGCTTATAGACTTCTTTGTTTGTGAACCGATGAGGCTGAAATTTGCTCCCCTATGAATGAGGCCTGGCGCAGAAGATAGGCTACTTTTTGCTGGGTCCTACTATCGATTTATTGATTTGTTTAACATCTAGGAAATGAAAGCTATATCATTCATTTTTTCCAAGTTGAGAAGTAAGGGGCGGTAGAGATCGTTTACATTTTGCGGTGAAGAGTATGCGGTGTCACTAAGCGAGCCTGTCCAGAAGGACAAATTCACCTCGGATACTAAACGTGTGCTGGAACTGACTTGGAGCTGAAGCAGGAGAGGAAGAGAAAATATGATCTGAAGGAAGTCGAGGAATGGTAAGCAAACATCTTGAAGCAGACGGGCCATTTTGGACCCTTGTCCCGGGCGGGACCGGGGATCGCAGCTAGTAAAAGATAGAGTTAAAGATAAAGTTAATGGGTGTGGGACAATCTCCAAGAAAATGTGGCTGCCTTTTGACGGTTTTGCCAAACCCCATTAACTTACCTTCAACGCATTCATACATCTACTTCTCCCGCACCGTTGAGACTGCTTAACCTTTTTTTCTTTCCATTAGAAATTTCGTATTAAATCATCGCACCATGAAAAAGATATGGCCGTTCATGGCCCGGTTATGGTAGTATGCTAGATCTGCGTAACCACTCAGAAACTGACCGGAACTTCTGCAGAACGTTCGGAAAAGTTCCGCTGGGTCACCTGCGGAAGTTCCGTAAACGTGCTGCGGAAGTTCCCAGATGAGGTGTTGCGGAAGATTCGAAGAATGCGAACCACAACAGCAAAAGGGAACACCTAGGCGAGATTTGAAGCTACTCTATTGACTGTGAGACTCACCTACTATCCTCTCCACTACGGCTAACATGTTCGATAATGCACTCTAGCTGTTGGCGAAAAACATCATATGAGACAGCACATTCCATACCCTGCGGAAGTACTGGCATGTCAAAGTGCTGCGGAATTTTTATAAAGCGCTGCGGAATTTCCGAAAAATGGCGCCGCCATTTTTCGGAAATTTTGCAGCGCTTTGTAAAAGATACTGCGGAAGTTTGCGTTTTCAACCGGTCTAATGTGAAAATCCTGCGGAAGTTTCTATTTTCAACGTTTTTACTTTTGCAATAAATAACAAAATCCTGCGGAACAGCTGCAAATTTTGCTTGTCCTGCGGAAGTTCCGAATTGTCTGAGTACGTACATTGCAAGAGAAGATGGCATATTTATATGTTTCCAGCACAAGTCCTTTAGTTTCCACTGGAGAAATTGGTCCGACTAAAAGTTGCTGAAAGCACAACTTGCAAGCGAAAATGAGACAAGCGAGATTTTGGCTGGCTCTTATTCCTATAGTTTGGCCGTTATTCGAAGCAGGATTTTTCTTGTATGCACAGAAGAAATAGTGCTTTGTACTGGAAGAAGACATAGCTAACTCACTCTCAAAACAAAGTAAATTAGGTTTGAAATGACCATTTCACCAAATGGCCCAAAATCTGGAAATTTCGGAACCCGCTTGAACTTGGTCCCAGGAGTAATTTACATGCTAATTACGAACACAATACTCATTACGCTTGGTGAGGTATCCTCAGCCTGGTTACGAACATATACGTGATAGGGGCCATTTGCCCTCCGGAGGTATCCATTCGATTGTCTGAGCCATGCCTAGCCCTGGGTTACATGCGATATGTGTCGATCATCAATACCTGGAAGCATCAACGTCCACTAACCATGCGTGCTGCTCTAGGCTCATGCGTCAACGACAATTCTTGGTTTCTTCTGACAGCAAGCGTAGATACTCGTTTCAGATGTTTCGACTCTGGTTCTATTGAACAACTTAGTCTATTGGCAAGTGTTTGAATATTCGGAGTCTTCTCAACCACTTGCAAGATTCTGAAGAATAAGAATTCCTTGAAGAGTGTCGCATAAAACGCTCATCAGCCTTGGTGGTGGTTCGTTGGTTGATAGGG